GTGATCCTTCTGCCTCAGTCTTCCGAGTAGCCAGAACTACAGGCGCGCGCTACCATGCCCAGCTGATTTTTTGATCTATTGTAGAGATGAGGTCTCACTGCCCAGACGGGTCTTGAACCCGCGGGCTCAGGCAATCCACTCACCTCAGCCTCCCAAAGGCGTGGGATTACAGGCTGAGCTACCAAGCCCGGCGGGAGCGTGGACTCTGTACACCTGTTGTACACCCACATTACCCACATGTGCACGGGCTCCACAGCTGGTGCATTGGGGGGGGGTGTAAAAAACCTAGGGGGAGGGACATTTCTGGGGTGACCAATGACTCCATGTCCTGACTTGTAAAAGCTAACCTGGTCACGCCACCCAGATCTGCTCTTTCTTCTGGCTGATGGAACACCCACCCCCCCACCTGGGAGCCCTCCCTCTCACCTGCCTGGCCCACCACCCACGGCCCTAAGACATCCCAGGCCACCTCTTCCCTCTCCATGGCACTGCGACATCTCCTAGGGCTCGCATCAGCCCTTCAGTGATCTTCCCTTGCATCTATTCCTGTGCTCAGCACAGAGTGGTCAGAAGCTAACACATGTAGACTGACAGATGGGTCCGCAGGCAGCTGCACACGACCACCAGACCTACCTGCAGGACTGAGCCTTCTCCAGCCCAGGGTGGCTTTGGGACTGCCATCTGCACACAGGCTCAGGCTTCAAGGCCCTCATAGGCCTGCCTGCTTCCCCCCCCAACCCAGAGCCGCACAGGCCTCCTGCCCCCTGCCCTCTGCATCTGCTTAGAAGGAGACACCGCTGCTCACCTTGGGCACCTGGTACCCTCTTCTGTCTGTCCCCCGCTGTGGCGTCTGCTGTACTGTGCTGACCTCGCCGCTTGCAGGAGACAGCCACCGAGACTCCTTCTTGGTGGGACCGGGGGCCTCAGGAGTGAGTTGGCAGGATGCCAAGGCAGCCTCTGCCCCACCTCTGTGGGGAGTGAGAGGCCTCGGGGAGAGAAGCTCAGGGGAGAGGGCTGTGGTTCGGAGGGCCTGGCAGGGAATGGGTCGAGCATCGTTCCTGCAGCCAAACCCCGCTGACCTCTGAGTGTCTCTGGAAACCTTTGTGAGCCCTTGTGAGGACAGAGGAAACAGACTCACTGCTGCTGGGATGACTCAGGATGCCACCGTGACAGGGAGGCTGTGCCTGTTGCTGCTTCTAGATCGAGGTATTCAGCTGTTAAGCCAAGTGACCTTTCTCAACAGCACAGTGGTGGGCAGGCTGTGACCTGAAGCCCCCAACTCAAATTGACCACAGGCCCCATTGGAGATAGAAGCACCTGGTAGACTTTGGACTGTTGTTTCATGAGGGTCTCTCTGATACAAGCATCCAATATGGTCCTTTCAAGAGTTTTTCAAGGCCTGCTGCGGTGTCTCACGCCTATAATCCTAGCATTTAGGGAGGGTGAAGCAGGAGGATTGCTTGAGCACAAGAGTTTGAAACCAGATTGGGAAACATAGCAAGACCTCATCTTTACACTAAACCAAAAGATTAGCCGAATGTGGTGGCACCCGCCTATAGACCCAGCTACTCCAGAGGCCAAGGCAGGAGGATTGCTTGTGCTTAGGAGTTCGAGACCAGCCTGGGCAACATAGCAAGACCCTGACTCTACAAAAATTTGAACATTAGCTGGGTATGGTGGTGCCTGTAGTCGCAGCTACTTTGGAGGCTGAGGCCAGAGGATTGCCTGAGCCCAGGAAGTTGAGGCAGCAGTGAGCCATGACTGTGCCACTACACTCCAGTCTGGGAGACAGATTGAGACCCTGACTCAAAAAATAATAATCTTCTGACATTGACTAAAGCTATAATGTTGAAAGCAAAGACCTGGGGGGGGCAGGCACCCTGAGAGTCCATGGCCAGTGCCGTTGCTGCACAGCGATGTCTGCTGTAGGAGTCTTGAGGCAGGCGAGGATTATCCCAGATGATGAGGCTGGCCTTCCCCAGAAAGTGCCCGCCTCCACAGGGAGCTGATTCCAGCCTGCAGCCCGCTCATTGTTTATGAGGTATTCAAGGAGAGAGAGATACCAGATCCTAAAGACCTCTTGTCCTGGTTCCCCAATTAGATCCAGACCCTTGTCAGATCATTCAGATGTGACCTGTGGGTCAGCTCTTGTGGCTGTGGGGGGGTGAGTGGGTGGGCAGGGGCGCTGCCGGTGGGTTCAAGATTTGTTCTTATAAAGCCAAAAGTGCCTTCCACAGACAAAAAGCAGGTTGGTGGTTGCCAGGGACTGGGAGGGGGAGGGGGAATGACTGCTTAACAGGCACAGGTTTCCTTTTGGCGTGGTGCAAATGTTTTAGAACTGTATAGGACATTCAACTTTGTGAATGTCCTAAATGCCATCGAATTGTTCTTTTTTTTTTTTTTTTTTTTTTTTGAGTGGGAGTCTTACTCTGTCACCCAGGCTGGAGTGCAGCAGCACACTCATGGCCACTACAGCCTCGACCTGCTGGACTCAAGCGATCCTTCCAACTCAGCCTTCCAAGTAACTGGAACTATAGGCATGCGCTACCACACCCGGTGAATTTTTTGATTTATTGTAGAGATGAGGTCTCACCAAGTTGCCCAGGCTGGTCTCGAACCCTTGGGCTCAGGCAGTCCTCTCACCTCGGCCTCCCAAAGTGCTGGGATTATAGGCGTGAGTCACCGCACCTGGCGAATTGTTCTTTAAAAGGGTTAATTTTATGTTATGTGAATTTCTCTTCAGTGGAAAGAAAAATACTCCTGACAACAACCAATCGATACACTGTGCTCTTTTATATACCTCTCCAAGATATCTTTACTACCAGATGGAAGTAGCAGCATAGCTTCCACGAACAGTTGTATAGGTTGTTCACTGCACAAAGGTAACCAGATGAAGAGCTGCCATCAGCCGGTGCTCTTTCCACCCAGCGCTGGACAGCATCTGCCCAGAGGAAGGGCATCTTTTTCTGATTCACACAGAGGTGCTCTGCTCTATAGGCTTCTTGGCCTTGATGGGAAGAGGCCCTCATGGTTAGCCTTCTTCATGGCCTTGGTGAAAAAATTAGCTCCCGGACACCGTCTTCTTCTCCACATGGACAGCTTTCCTGCAGCCAAATGTGCGCTCCTATTTTTGAAATGGGTGAAGAAGCAAGTCCATGTCCTTGAAGCCCAACCAGTAATTTAGTTAATGACTTCCTGCCGCAAGCATGCTAGCAGATGTGTTCAGACACCCGGAGGAACACCAGCTTGTTGAATGGCAGGACCTGGGGTAGGGAGAGCAGTGTCAAGCCAGAGGAAAGATGCTGGCTTTTTTTTTTTTTTTTTCCGAGTTGGAGTCTCACCCTGTCGCCCAGACTGGAGTGCAGTGACACACTCCCGGCCACCGCACCCTCGACCTGCTGGGCTCCAGCGTTCCACCTCAGGCTTCCAAGTAGCTGGAACTACAGGTGCGCACTACCATGCCCGGCTAATTTTTTTTGATTTATTGTAGAGATGAGATCTCACCAAGTTGCCCAGGTAGGTCTTGAACCCGCAGGATCAGGCAATCCACTCACCTCAGCCTCCCAAAGCACGAGATTGCAGGCTGAGCCACCGAGCCCGGCTAGGTGCTGGCTTTTACTGGGAAGGGCTGGTGTGGCTGACTTTTACTACCAGATGGAAGTAGCAGTAGTAGGAGGGCATTGCCTGAGCTCCCCTTTTTCGAGGAGGAGTCATTTGAGAGATGCGGCAGGGTTCATCCCCAGGAAAGACGAGGGATTCTCCATGGCGTGAGGTCTCTCCCATCCTGCGTTAAGCTTCAGGTCTTGGCCTGGGTTCTGTCCCCAAGGGCGACTTGATGAAGGGAGTTCTCAGTGAGTTACGCCCCAGGGCTTAACCCGAATGGCATTTGAGACTGCGTGCTGGAGAGTGGATGTTGGAATGACCTCCAGAGCTGGCTGGCTGAGTCCACCCAGCATGTGAGGTCAGGTGTGCACCATTTTTATTTATTTATTTTCATTTTTTACACTGGGGTCTTGCCGTGTCGCCTAGGGTGGATGCAGTGGCATAATCACAGCTCACTGCAGTCTCAAACTCCCGGGCTCAGGCAATCCTCCCACCTCAGCCTCTTTCTTGAGTAGCTGGAACCACAGATGCGTGCCATCATGCCCAGCTAATTTTTTTCAATTTTTTTGTAGAGAAGGGATCTCACTATGTTGCCCAGGCTGCTCTGAAATACCATGGCTGAAGCGATCCTCCTGTCTCAGCCTCCTGAAGTGTTAGGATGACAGGCATGAGCCACCATGCCCGGCCATTTTAATTTATTTTATTATTGTTATTATTTCTTAAAACATGTCTCTCTTTGCTGCCTAGGCTGGAGTGCAGTGGTACCATTATAGCTCACTGACTAAGCCATTCTCCTGTCTCAGCCTTCTGAGTAGCTTAGTACACGTACATGCTACCATGCCCAGCTAATTTTTTTATTTTTACTTTTTGTAGAGATGAAGTTTCTCTGTATTCCCCGGGCTCGTCTTGAACTCCTGGGTTCAAGCAATCCTCCTGCCTTGGCCTCCCAAGTGCTGGGATTATAGGTGTGAGCCACCATGCCTGGCTGGTTTGGACTTTGGACAGAGATGCCCTCTGATGTTTAGAAATTCAATAAGCATGGCCAAGCTCGGTGGCTCAGCCTATAATCCTAGCACTTTGGGAGGCTGAGATGAGTGGATTGCCTGAGCCTGCGGGTTCAAGACCCACCCGGGCAACTTGGCGAGACCTCATCTCTACAATAAATCAAAAACTAGCTGGGCGTGGGAGCCCGTGTGCACCTGTAGTTCCAGCTACTTGGAAGGGTGAGGTGGAAGAATCGCCTGAGCCCAGCAGGTTGAGGCTGAGGTGGCCGTGAGCGTGCCACTAAACTCCAGTCTGGGTGACAGAGTGAGACTCCAACCACCCCCACCCCAAATAGAAATTCAATAAGCAAAAGAGAGGCTGGCAGCCTTCTGTGCAAGTTTTCAGGGTCTGAGCAGTATGTGACCAACTGAGCACCTGTGGGTGGGCACGGGCTGCTAGGGTTTCTCCTGAGACAGTTCTGGAAGCACCTGTCCACCCTGGCCTCGGAGAAGCTGCTTGCCTTTCCGGGAGGACACCTGGGTGGATTAATGTTTTCAAGTGATGACACGGGCAGCCCCGAGTGAGGGGGTCTCAGCCCGACCAGCTCGGTGTCACCACCCCCTGTCAGAGTGGTGATGCAGAGCCAGAGGGGTCCACCCGCAGCCCCTCCTCCTGCAGTTGGCCTGGCGAGCCCCTCCCCGCCTGTGACATGAAGACCATGCTTCCCAGCTGCGGCAGGGATGGAAGGGGCCTGTGGGAAGTGGGGGGAACTCCCACTGCAGGAGGGGGTCTGGTGACTCTGCCTTCCCAATGGAGGGGAAAATACTGGGAAGCTACTCTGGGAAGAAGGAATTGCTTGCTTCTAGAAATACAACAGACCCCAGGGTGTCTGAGGTGGAAGGGGCTGTGGTATTGGGGTAGCAGCAAGGACTGGGGAGTCAGACAGTCCCGGGTTCAAATCCCAGCTCATCCTCTGTGTGGGGCTTCGGGACCTGCCGTAACAGGGGCCACAAACGTGGTGGCATAAAACGACAGAGATGTGTTCTCTCAGGCTTCTGGAGCCCGGAAGCTGTCGTGGGACTGTGCACCTTCCAGAGGGAGAATCTGTTCCTTGCCTCATCTGGCTTCTGAAGGCCATGGCAGGCCTGGGCCTTCCTGGTGGAGGCTGCGTCACTCTGCTCTGCTCCGTCCTCCGTCCTCATGTAGTCTTCTCCCCCATGCCCCTGGGACAAGATCTTTTTTTTGAGCTGGAATCTCACTCTGTCACCCAGGCTGGAGTGCAGTGGCATGCTCACAGCCACCACAGCCTCGACCTGCTGGGCTCAGGAGATCCTTCCACTTCAGCCTTCCAAGTAACTGGAACTGCAAGCCTGCGCCACCACACCCGGCTCATTTTTTCATTGCCATATTGCTCAGGCTGATCTTGAACCCCTGAGTTTAGGCAATCCTCTCGTCTCCACCTCCCAAAGTGCTGGGATTACAGGCGTGAGCCACCAGGCCCAGCTAGTGTCTGTCTTATGAAGATGCATGTAATTGCATTTTGGGTCCACCTGACTGTTCCACGTTAAGCTCCTTGGAAGATCCTTCATTTAATGGCAGGATATGACCATATTTGCTCAAATAAGGTCACATCCTCAGGCTCCAGGGATTTGAAGAGGTAGTTTTTTTTTGGAGGGGGTCATGTTTCAGCCTACCACACCCACTTCCTAGCTGTGTGAGCTTGGGTAAGTTACTTAGCACCTCTGAGCCTCAGATGTTATTTAACAAATGAGTACCGGGCCCCCTGGCATGTGGAGTCTCCCGGTGGTCCCATGTGGCCTGGTGCGGGTACTCCTGGGTGACTGCTGTTCCAGGGAAAGTGTGTTCGGCTTCATTGTGAGCTTGCAACTGAGTCTTGTGCTCCGTGACCAGGTATTTGAAGCACACGTTGGACCAGTACGTGGAGAATGACTACACTGTTGTCTATTTCCATCACGGGCTGAACAGCAGGAACAAGCCATCCCTGGGCTGGCTCCAGAGTGCGTACAAGGAGTTCGACAGAAAGTGCGTGCCTGCGAGACTCAGGGAGGTGGAGGGCAGGCACACGGGGGTGGGCTGCATGTGGCAAAGAGTGGGCATCGCCCCCCAGGGGGTCTTGGGCCATGTTGCAGGGGCTGGGCATGGTGGAGGGTGAGGCCTTCGGGGCCAGGCAGGACTTCAGCTTTTCAGGCCATCCATTCTGTCACAACGACTCAACTCTGTGGGACCGCATTCCAGTAAATATGGATGCTGCAATGTGAATTTCATGGTATTTTCACATCATGAAATATTATTATTCCTTTAATTCCTCTTTTTCAGCCATTTAAAAATATACAATATAAAAGCCCCAGCCTAGGTAACAGTGAGACTCCATCTCACAAAAAAATTCCAAAATAATTAACTGGGCATGGTGGCGTGCCTGTAGTCCCAGCACCTTGGGAGGCCGAGGTGGGAGGATTGCTTGAGTCCAGGGTTTGAGACCAGTCTGGACAGCATAGTGAGACCTCGTCTCTGCAAAAAATAAAGTTAGCCAGGTGTGGTGGTGCAAGCCTGTAGTCCCAGCTACTTGGGAGGCTGAGGCAGAAGGATTACCTGAGTGCAGGAGTTCGAGGTGAACTGCACTCCAACCTGGGCGATGGCGTGAGACCTCAACTCAAATAAATAAATAAGCGAGCAAACAAGTGAGCCGTCTCCAGCCTGGAAGCTGTACCCAAGCCGGAAGCAGGTTGGATTTGGCCGTGTGCCCGTTTGCCAGCCCCTGGTCTAGTGAACTGTTGGCAGAGAGACAGCTGCCACGCCCCTTCCTTCCCAGACATCCCTCCCGTTTGCACAGCGCATTACAGTCTGTAGAGGGCTTTCTGGTGCCTTGTGTCGGTGAGACAGGAAGCCCCGTGTTATTGATGAGGACACAGAGGCCCGAGAGAGCAAGTGACTAACCCATGGTCAAGCCACTTGTGTGTGGCAGGGTAGGAACCCACCCCATACTGTTCGCCACCCGGCTGCAGCCTGAGACTAGCAGACTTTCCCAAGAGGAGTCTCGCCTAACAGTGAACCTGGCAATGTATTTGGCTCATCGGCTGCCCCGTTGGGCGTTGGTGTTGCTATCCGAGACTCTCTGGGCTTTCATTCTTCAAAGTCCTTTCAAACCTACAGCAGAAATCCTCCTTGCAGGTGTTTGCATGTGTGGGACTATCCCAGAGGGAGTCCCAGAAGCTCCCCCTCCAACTGCCTTTTGAGTCCTGTGGTCACTGTCAATAGGACTTTTGCAGGAGTTTCCTGGTTCCCTGCCTTGTGTCTTAGGAATGGGTTTGTTGCCATATCTTGCTGTCATTTATTGGGCACGTGCATAAAGCTGACCAGACCTCAGCTTGAACCCTCTTCTAGGAAGCCTTCCTGGGTTGTCCCAGGAGAATCAACAACCCCTCTCCTGCACCAGGGTGCTGCCCTTGTAGGTAGGAAGGGTCTGTGTGTGGCAGATTCTTACCACGTGTTGGATGGGAGGATGGAGGAGTAGGTTAGCAGCAGCAGTAAATACCAAGCTTCCAGGCAGGGTAGTCAGAGAGGCTGCATGGAGGAGGCAGCCTTTGAGCTGTCTATGGAGTGATGAACAGGTTGTTGTGAGGGGACAGTACAAGGTGTGGCCAGATGCACTGGAGTTGGAGGGTAGGGCTGGAGGGTTCACCTAGGGACCAGGGAGGGGGGCACTGAGGATGCTGGACTTTGTTGAAGCAGCAAGGAGCCATGGCAGGTGCTTGAGGAGAAGCGAGTGACAGGTTTCAAGTGGTCCTTCCAGGAGGCGGACACGAAAGAGGCGCACAGCAGCCCTGCCTGGAGTGGAAGCACATCAAGGCTTTGCCCTGCACCCACCGTGGGGCACACAGAGGTGCACCCCCAGATTCCTGGGCACTTGCCCCATTTTTCCATTGCTGGGAGCCAGGCCCTGGGGTTGGGGGAGGGGCTGCCAAGAATCTCATTTAGAATTGAACCCTCCATTGGGGAGACGGCAGTGGAATTCCCCACACCTAGCTGGTGGGTTGGACTCTGTTGCTGGCGGTGACAAAGCAGGAGGTGGGGCCACCAGCCCCAGCATGGAGGCCAGCCCCGTCCAGTAGGGGGCAGGGGGATGCATCAGCATTCATGTCGAAGGGCAGAGCTGTCCCGGAGGGGAGGCTTGAAGCGGTGACTTCCAGTCAGGGACCATTTAACCTGGACTAGGCCGGGGTGAGAGGACGGTCACGGTCACGGTCATAGTCTTCAAACCGTCACATGGAAGGGGGTGAACTTGTTCTGTTGTGACTCCCTCGGTCCCCAGGAAGGTCCATGGGGGCGGGGTTACAGATCTTGGCTCAGTAGAGGTGGAAAGGACCCAACGGTGGAGCATCTGCAGGGGTAGTGAGTTCCCTGTCATGGGAGGTGTGCAGGTGGAGAGCTAGAGTCAATGAGATGAGATGTATGCCGTGAGGGTTTCAGTCTCCCACTGCTGCACCCGCTGGGCTTCCTTCTCGCTTCTCTGTTCTTTCTGCAGTTGTCTCCTCACTCCGCAGTCCCCCCGCCAGGTCACTCCTCAGGGTGGACGAGTTCACAAGTTCCGTGACCTTCTTCCACGAGTGCTTGCCCCACCTCAGGGCTCCTGTCAGGCGACACTCCCCACAAAAGCCTCTGGAAGCTCAGCCTAGGTTGGGCTTCATGGCAGCTGCCTCCTGGGCTCCTGGCCACTCCAGGAGTCACGAGCCCCTCCCTCCCCGCTTGAGAGGCTTTTAAAGATAATTGGTTAGTGTTTCCTGGGGAGATACTTGGAGACTGTATCAATATCCTGCTTCTCATCAAAATTGTGTGTACTGGTTTTCAACCTCAGTGCTGCTTCTTGGCTTAATTGTTTCTATGATGGCTGCCAAGGGGGGATTTGAATTATTAGTTGACATTTTACTGTCAGGAAGAGCTGTGTCTTCTCCTCACTTGTTTATACGGGTATGGACGTGTGATTTCCCATTTTATTCAATGGATTATAATCCATTTATATATTTATTTGTTATTTAGAGTTAGGATCTCACTCTGTCACCCAGGCTGGAGTGCAGTGGCATGACCACAGCTCACCACAACCTCGACCTCCTGGACTTAGGCCATCCTTCTGCCACAGCTTCCCAAGTAGCTGGGACTACAGGCACATGCCACCATACCCAACTTGTTTTTTCAAAATTTTTTTTTGTAGAGATGAAATCTTGCCGTGTTGCCCAGGCTGGCCTCGAACTCCTGGGCTCAAGCAGACCTCCCGCCTTGACCTCCCATAGTGCTGGGATTACAGGCAGGAGCCACCATGCCCAGCCTGTCATTATTTATTCTAATGATCAAATTTTTCCAAAGTCGCCCATGAAGGCACCCCTTTGAGCTGGCTCCTGGCTCCTCTGACATGTCCATCACTCTTAGAGCACTTCCTTTACTTTCTGGCCAAAGATGCTCCAGGCTCATCTTCTGTTTTTGTTGCCCCAGCTCAGGAATCTGCCATTTCTCCAAGGAACCCTGGTTCCTTTGAGTAGAGGATGCATTTAGAGACCAAGGTCTGGAAGGTGGTGTGCTTGTTGCTTTTGGGGTGTTACGACTCCCAGCCTCTCTCAGCAGAGTTGAGTGTGTGTGTGTGTGTGTGTGTGTGTGTGTGTGTGTGTGTGTGTATCACCATCAGCATGTATATTATCTCTCCATCCACACTCGGAGTACTGAGTTCACACCATACCCATGCCAGCTCCTGCAACTGCAGGGCCCACTCTAGCTTTCCTGCCTTCTGTAATTCTAACTCTCTTCTCCACGGTGCAGCCCCTTCTTCACCCTCAAGGTGACCTCCTTACCTTGGAAGTACCCTTCTTACCCCCTCTGGCTCTGGCAGACCACTGCTGCCCCCTGCTTGAACAGCCTTCTTGCCCTGTCTAGGCTCAGATACCTCTCGCTGCTGGGCCTTTGTCACTCCCTGCTGGGTCTGGCCTGGTGGAGTGCTGGTGCAGGTGTAACAGCCAGCTCTGGGGGGAGGGGCACGCTGACTAGCATCGTTTGCATATTTCTATGATGTAAATCCTGCCACCCTGGCCAGTTTTAGGCTACCCGTGTGATGTCCCTGGGCACAGAGACAGGAAGTGTCAGGTAGCAGCCACCTTCTACAGGCGTACGGCATCCAGATAAAAAACGAAAACAACCTCAAGGGCACAGGGAATAATAGACTAAGTAAAACAATGAGGAAGCTGTGAGTTTTTGTGTTTGTGACTAACTTTGTGTTTGATATAATTTATTCAATTGTGAGTTCATGGTATTTCATAGTTAATAATAGCTGTTTCTCATGCCTGGCTCCTGAAATTTCTGAGGTTTTGACAGTGGGTCCTTGCGAGTGGGTGGAGGCTGGCTCTAGCGTCCCCCTGGCAGACCCCTCCAAGGCCGTGTGGGTGCCCCTCCTCCCCTCCTGGGCTGATTCCCCCGCAGGCCACATGGTTCCCTGCTCACCCTCTGAGGCCCAGCATGCCAGGCTGCCCCTAGCCCACCCCAGACGAGTATCGGCTGTACTGCCCAAACAGATGGCTTTGGACTGACAAATCCAAGAAGGAGGGTGGAGATGGGAGGCGGGGAGGCTAAGCCACTCCTTTGGTGAGTGGCTGCCTCGTGTCCAATCGTATGGGTGTGCTGTGAACTGACCTCTTGCTGACTGGTGTTTAGGTTATTGCCAGGTTTTTTTATGGTTATAACCAGCACAGTGAGCTTCCTTCTATCCAAGTCTTTCCTGGCAGGGGAGGTGTTGGGGATAGGGTCTGTGCTGTTTTAATTCTTTATTATCTACCATCTTTCTATCTCCCTAACTGTCAATCTATTACCTATCTGTCTATCTGTCTGTCTGTCTGTCTATCTATCTATCTATCTACTAGCTAGCTAGCTAGCTAGCTAGCTAGCTAGCTATCTAGAGATGAGATCTCACTATGTTGCCCAGGCTGGTCTCAAACTCCTGGCCTCAACCGATCCTCCTACCTTGGCCTCCCAAAGTGCTAGGATTGCAAGTATGAGCCACTTCGCCAGGCCAGTGCCGTTTTAATTCTGGGAGCTGTTGCCAAGCTGCCCCCAGGTTGTGCCTCACGCATCTACCCCAGCCTGCGTAAGCGAACACCTGTTGACACGGGCTCCATCCTGCGTGTGTGCACTCTGCAGACTGTGAAGTGTGCCACATGCCTGGTGGTGGCGGTGGGTGAGGGGTCCTGATCTTCCCCGAGTTTGAACCCCTTCTTCTTTTGGTTAGACGCCCTTAGACTGACCCTGTTGAGAAATGGACTATTCTGAGACTCACGGTTGAGGCGACCATTTTGTGGTCTTCTGGCATGTGCTGTGTCTGAGTCTAACAGCCTGACCTTGTTACCGGCTCCCTCCTCAGGTACAAGAAAAACTTGAAGGCCCTCTACGTGGTGCATCCTACCAGCTTCATCAAAGTCCTGTGGAACATCTTCAAACCCCTTATCAGGTACACGTTGCTTGGGGTGAGGACCTTGCTGGGCATGGAGGTTTCATTCTCACCCAACTCGAGGCACCATGGAGGCCCTGTCTCACAAGTGCCATGTGTCTGGGCACTCCACCCACCCCGGTGTCTGCAATGGGTCCCAAAGCTGGCCCGGGTCCTGTGCCCTAAGGGTTATGGGTAGGAGGGTTGGCCTGCGGCCCTGTGAGGTTTGCACCTGGAATGTAAAATCCCCCGCTGGCCCGGGCGCCACGTTGTACAACTGCCGTCGGGTTCCAGGATTTGCTAGAAGGACTCACGGATCTCAGGAAAGCCGCTATCCTCCCTGTTGCGGTCTATTACAGAGAAGGGACATAAGTTAAAGTTGGCACAGGTAACAGGTACATGGGGTGGAGTCCGGGAAGACCAGCTGTAAGCTTCCAGCTGCCCTCCCTCTGTGGACTCTGCAGACAGTACTTCCCACTCCCAGCGACAGTGTGACACCGCAGAGCGTCTTCCACCGGGAAGCGCATGTGCGCCTTGGGGTCCAGAGCTTTTGTTGGGGTTGGTCCCTGGGCTTGTCACCCACACAGCTGGCCTCAGGTACTCAGTCTCCAGCTCCTCCTGAAGCTAGATGGATGCAGCCCGAGGCCACTGCCCTCAGTCACATCGTGGGCGTAAACTCTGTAGAGTGGGCCCAGACCTTAACTGGCAGAGCATTTGAGGGCTGAGAGGTCTTCATCCAGGAGCAGGGCCAGGGCCTGACCTCTCTTTGGAATATGCAGGGTTGGGACAAACAGCAGCTCAGACACAACCTGAAGAGACGAAGCCACAGCCTAAAAAGAGGCGGCTTTGGTCAGCTTCTACGTCATCCACACTCTCTCATGCTGGATGATTTCTGTCTCAGTGTCAGGAAGCAAGAGCTCCAGGGAAGGGCAGGCTGCAGAGGCTCTGCCGGGGTCACACGGCGTCTTCCCTTTCCCTCCCCTTTGACTGTATGCACCAGGCACAAACTGTGTGCATGAAGCCCTGTGATGGGGTGGTGGTGAAGAGACCCACAGATGTGACTCTTGCATGGTGGGTGTCCGGGCCCCTGATGATTAGCTCTGCAGGTGAGGAAGGGACTGGGTGCAGGAGGACCCAGGTGGGTCGTGGGAGGTTAGGATACTCAGGTGAGGCAGTTTCATCATGAGGCAGGGGCTGGAGGACTCCAGAGGGCTTCCCTGGGGAGGAGCATTTGAGTGCAGGGAGGCACACCCCGAGGGATCATCCTCCAGTGAATCTCATTGGCTTTGGCTGTCTCCTCCCCCACCACCTCCTTCCACCTGTTGAAATCCACTCATATGGCTCAGAGGCTGCACAGCTCTTCCTCAACCTATGTAGCCGCCATGTGAGTGGGTGTGACACGGGGCTCCTGGTCAGGGCTGGGATGTGAGTCGGGGCCACGGGGGCCATACTCCATCTCCATCCCGATCCCCATCTGATCCCCAGGAGGCATCCCATCCCTGCAAGAGCACAGTGAGCTCTGGTCTCCCCCCTGCGGGTGCCTCTGCCAGGGCTACACGGCCCATCTTGCCCTTGTCCCTGTGTCCCTGCGTTAGCAAGCATCAGTCCTTGGGGGTGCATCGGGAGCTGCTCTGCCAGGTGGTGTGGTGGGGGGAGCCTGTCTCCGCCCGCATCCCTGGCTGCCAACGCCATCATTCTAGAGACTGAACTGTGGGGCCTCGCCACTGGGAGAATTCCCCAAGCAATGGGCTTGAGCCGGCACCCAACTTAGGGAGACATTTTTGTGGCTAAAGAGCTCATTTTACTGCGGTTCTCTACTAGTTTTCTCCCCTGGTTGCCTGGGCTGCACGCTGGAAGGTGGCTTTGTTTCTCGGGCAGGGCCTTTCTCCTTCCCCTTGTCCTGTGGGTGAAGGGCATGCCACACTTTGGTGACTCTTCTGCAGCCTCAGCCTTCAGCCCAGGTCCCTGACCTCCCTAGCAAAGTCCTGGGAGTCCAGGCAACTGGGTCTGCTTCTCCCTCATCCACTAGAGGGAGCCAGTGCACACAGCTCGGCCTCCCTGGGGGCGTCTTGTGAAACCATCTCAGGGAGCGACCCCTTGATTTCGGGGAGCTGGTGCTGGCCGAGCATTTTATTTCCACTGTTCTATTTGATCCACTTTTTATTTTCACAATGGTAATTTAGATGATTTTCATTTCACAATATAAACAACATTGAAAATAGATGAATACTTCATTTCAAGACTTACAGATTGTCGTAAAAGTAACATAAAATATCCTTAGTTTTGCTGAAGACATGACTTTCCCTTTCTGTTAACAATACAGTTTTTTACCCAAATTAATAGTTGTACACCTTGGCCAGGCGTGGTAGCTCATGCTTGTAATCCCAGTGCCTGGGGAGGCTGAGGTGGAAGGATCACTTTGAGCCCAGTAGTTCAAGATCAGCCTGCACAACATGGTGAGACCTCGTCTTTGCAAAAAAGAAAAAACAAAAATTAGCCAGATGTGGTATCGCACACCTATAGTCCTAGCTACCCAGGAGGCTGAGGCGGGAGGATTGCTTGAGCCCAGAAGGCTTAGGCTACAGTGAACAGTGATCATATCGCTGCACTCCAGCCTGGGTGACAGACTGAAACCCTATCTCAAAAAAAAAAAAAAAAAAAGTACAATAAGGAAATACAATACAATAAGGAAAATGCTATTCTAGAAAAAAAAAGAGTAGATATATTTGTGATTCAAAATAAATAAATAAATAACCCCAGCCTGTCATAAAGAATGCTGGGATTGCAGGCTTCTCTACCAAGGCGTGGCCGCTGGCATCTATTCAGGATCCATGATTTACCATGATGCCTCATTAATTACAGTAGCAGCCACGGGCAGTGTGTCTCCCACACGGCAGGCTGTGAACTAGTGCTTGCAGATAGCCTCGCTTTGAGAGAGAGGCCTCGTTTTCAGAGGCGCCCGAGGCCCTGAGAGGTGGGCTGAATTATTCCAGGGTGAGGGGAGAAGACGGAGTTGCTGGATTGACCCAGCCAGGGCTTGTCTGGCCTGATGGCCGCACTTTCTCCCTTGGGGTCTCCAGAGAGACTCACAGAGACAAACCCAGAGAACCTCGTTTAGGAGATGGCCAACCATGAAGGCAACTGAGTCCGTGGGAAGGGGCAGGCAAAGGCGGGGGGTAGGGGGTGGGCGGACTTCGTGTCCCCTGAGCTCCTCTGGGTGGGGAGGCCCCGTGCCCCTCCCTGCTCCCCGGAAGGTGCTCCCTGGAGCTCCCACTCTGTCTCTTGTATGTATGCAAATCAGGGCAGATTCCAACTGGAAGCAGAAATTTATTTTTATGCAGATGAGACTCTGCAGAGTGTCTGCCAGGGAGATCTCATGAAAGCGAAACATCTCCTGACGTGCAGGTTTTTGTTGTGCTCCGGTTTTAAGTCGTGTCAGCATTTACATTTTCTTAATATGAAAAACGCCTGCCTTG